TTTTTCTACTGATAGCATTTTAAACCATATATTTACTTTCGAATGAACCAATTATATCCAATGATGACACTCGGAACAAAACCCGTTCTATAGTTACGAAGAAATACGTAAATAGACTAACAGCGAGGCATGAAGTGTCTAAAACATAAGTATTAATTAATAGATTTATTTATTGTATGACATAATATTAAAATAATTCATAAATAGAATGGTAGGCCTGATTATAGAATTTTATCTATATATTTTGAAATACTGTCCTATCTCTTTTATTAGTTCCGTGAACGCTCACTTGTGCTATCAGCGCTAAAATGACGAAAATCAAATCGCCTCATTATGTCACGGTGTATAGCCAGTCTCGGGTACTTGTATAATAGACGCTCAGTGTCAGTGGCTCGCAAGTCTTTAAAAGGAGAGCTTGACCACAAACCTAACCACAACGAATTTCTTAGTTCTTAGGGGTAAAGCTTAAAAAGCTTTCTAGGTTACAATCAACGATGAACCATATAATATATTATGAAATAACATATTATATGGTTCATCAACACAATACAAATGAACCAGTTGGTTTATTTGTTACATAAATTAAACTATAGTAAAACAAGTACAAATGTCAATACAGTGACAATATTTATATGTGATTGTTATTAGCCGCCCAACTTTTATAATATTAAACAGTGATAAAAGGACAAGAAATCGCAGTTGGCGCAAGACCTACTTAAGACCTACTAAGACGTATTATTGAATTACTGAAGGAAAATATAAAATCAATAGACAAATGATTTTTTATATTTACGCGAACACTACATATCGTATTTAAATAAAACTAAGATACATACAAAAAAAAACAGTAGAATAGGGGAACATTTAATTTTAAAATCGGCTAAAAATTATATAACATTATTGCAAAAATAAATTATGAATGCGCCAGCAAGGTAATGTTAACATATTTTGGTTTGTAGCGTCTATTTATTGCAAAGGCACCATCATTCAACGTGGTAAAGCCACGCTACAATGCAGCACGAATGTGTCGGCTCGAAAGGGGAAGGAACACGCTCACACAGAATAGAGAACATAGCCCAATAGCAGTTAATAATGCTATGTTTCGTATGCTAAGCGGCGGAGACCTTAATTTACTGGCAAAGAGACATTTTATCTCAGTCCTCAGGGGTGACAATTATTTGAATTTTTGTTTTTAATCGAGTGTAAATCTATGAGTCACAGGATCCACTGAACACGTGCAGGTAGACTGTGTGCTCGTTTGTAATGTTTACACCTATAAAAAATACTGTGGGGTGTTCTTTCTTAGATCTGAGGGGTGACAGTATTTGCAGCCTTCTTTATTTATAATTGGGTATTGATGATATGGTCATCAATATCTAATTATAAACGAAGATACTACAGATATCAAGTTAACATTAGGTGGACTATTTATTAACTTTCTGTTACTCTAAACGAAAAACAAAATAACTAACGTAACCTATTCAAAACAAGTGAGACGATACAAAATTGAAAATTTCGCTCACAGCACCGCTTCGTATTTTAGATCAAAGCGCTCTTCAGTTAATAAACGTTTATAACTTTTATTAACTGCAAAGTTCATAACATTCTCATGTGCAACAATTATTTGCTTGTTATATTGTGTTACGCTCAAGTCATGCAGTTAAATGAAAACTTCGACTGTTGCATGGTTGTATTTTGCATAAAATTAATATACATATTACACTACACTGCATTTCCAGGTAAATCAGTAAACAGACTCCATCAGTAAACAAAACCGCAAATCGTATATTAAATGCACTACACGCACTACAATAAAATGTCAGGTGCAGTGGAATTTCATTTACGCATAGTTTGACATGCACTTCAGCAGCAGTTCTCGGACAATCTCGGACTTAAACTAGAGTTTTTATTTTTATTTATTTTATTGAGTATTTTAACATTTTATATTTATTTTATCAACGATGCAAATAAAATAATTATAAAATGTTAAAATACTCAATAAACTAAATAATAATAAAAGTCTAGTTTAAGTCCGAGACTATTTATAAACTGCTTGTTGTAATAGACGGTATACGATATGTATGTTTATAACGTGTTAGAACCATGCTGCAGCTATATTATGGCTTTTGCACGAATGGGTCGGCTAGACCGGGGAGAGGCCACGCTCTCACAGAATACGAACGTAAAATAGCAGCTCAACGCTGCTGTGTTTCTTATGATGGGTGGATAGAACCGGAGAACCTTTTAATTAGAAACGAGGCATTCCATCTTAGTCCTCGGGGGTGACAACGCATCTGCATTTTGATCATAAGCGAGGAGGTGGACTGTGTGCTCCTTTGTCACCCTTATTCTATAAAAAAATAGACATTTTGAATGTTTCCACAGAGAAAACGAAGTATTTTAGATTTTTGTTTATTGCCATAAGAAAGCATCTATTAAAAGAGGACGAAATATTCAATTTCTAGGTGGTAGGTCTCCATTTCTGCCTATGCCTATTACTATCGCAAAGCAGCAACGTCTGCTTCGCTATGTTCTATTCTGAAGGATGTATAGAGAGCCAGTATATTTATATACTGTGACGCACTCCATCTTGGTTATCTTAAGTGACACCTTTATAATCTTCTTTGTATTTACACTTGGTTCAAACTAAGACCCCACGATTCGCTAGGCAAGTTTACCATTAACGGTATAATATCCTGTCGATATGATACGACAACTTATTGCTTTCAAAGTAAGGATATGTTTTGACAAACTATACAGTAATTGGATGAGGTTTTCCTTTGAATGCAATTTCGCTTTGACGCACAGCTCAGAGTTCTAGTTTCTTAGCTGTGTAGTTGAGATTTCAAAATAGCATTAGCAATACGAACAGCATTTCGCAATTGCGGTAAGACAAAATGTTTACATATTACTATTTAGCTAGCCATAGCTCTATTTACTATTAACACCAAATTATTTAACATTTAAAAAAAAGCATCCGCTTCAGATATTAATCATATCTAGTCCGATTGATTTTAGGAAGAAATAAATCAGTAATTGAAAAAATTACTCCCCAACAGACCAAGTCCACAGTCGGACATAGGTCTTTCCAAGAATATACGCACCAGTTATGCTTACTTACATGCATTTCTTGGGCGATTTATTCATATTCACTATGCTGGTCGTAGGTTGGTGAGTACAGAATCGATATCCTCCTAGTAATAAGATAATGGCCATCATTTTGAACATGGTAGAGCCATACTACAGCTATATTAATAGTATAGTTGTAGCACGAATGGTTCAGCTCGACCAGGGAAGGACCACGCTCTCACAGAATAGCAGCTTAACACTGCTGTGTTTCGTATGGTGAGTGTAGAGAAATGGCGACCCTTTTTACTGCAAAAGAGACATTCCATCTTAGTCCTCACGGGTGACAATGCATCCGCATTTTGATTCTTTATTGAGGATGTGGATGTCTATGGGTCACAGCAACCACTCACCATAAGGTGGACTGTGTGATCGTTTGTCACCCTATCCTATAAAAAATCACCATTCTGGGGATACTGTCCGATCGATCGGCGAGACAATCGCATGCAGGTAAAGTTAACATATGAAGAAAAAGTTGTATTATCTTCTTACATACATCCCCATTTGTCATAATAATCACTCACTCACTTTTTAATCCATCATAAGTCCACCGGTGAACATAGGCCTCCCCACAGTACGATTCTGAGCAATATCCTATCCATAGACTACCTGCATGTTCCATCACGTTGCCATACATACATAAATAATAAGAAATAACAATGTACATACAAGACAAAAAAATACGCACAGCTCATACCAATACTGGTCATTTTTTTTAAATCAATTTTACGTTAAGATCGCGCTGTATATAAGACATAATTACTGAATGAATAAATGAATAAAACCTAACTAAGACATTGAATAAATGAATGTTATTTAGTGCTTAGTTAAGTGTTAATGCCAGGCATGATGGTACAGGAGAAAATTACAATTAATACTTTTTTCTAAATAAAATCATAACTGTTAAATAAAAGTAAAATCCGTCTTGAAATAACTAAAAAAAAAATATTTTTCTTATTTTATTCTAAGATTTCTTTATTTTAATCTTAAATTTTTAAACTTTGCTTTTTATTTTTTTACTACTTTGAGTGAAGTAAGAAACATCGCATTCTTAATATCCTCTAAATAGTTAAATGGATTTAATTTAATTCTCCCAAAAAACAACTGCACCATCTCTGAAGAATGCGTATTTAATGAAAAAAGGAAGTAATAAAATCGCTTCACAATTGGCGAAGATACTGCGTAACATAATACACTAAAAATACAATCCAATTTTAAACGTCCTGCTTTCTCTAAATTCGGCTGCAAATACATTAAACACAACTCATCTGTTAAATAGCAGACATGCAAAATAACGTATTGACAAAATTAATATACTGGAACAAAACCGCAAGCAACAGTCACCGTTCACTAAATGTGTGAAGAAAATGGAAAACACACAATACATTTGGAATCTCGAGCCCCTAATAAATATAAAAAACATTTTAGTTCGTTCAAAGTTAAAGTTACAACCTGTATACGTCCCACGGCTGGGCACGGGCCACCTCTCATTACTGAGAGGGTTTTAGGAAAGGAAATGTCCGCCGCGCTGCCCCAATGCGTGTAGGCGAACTTTATAAGTCTTCGAAATATTTTTTATTTCTCAGACATGCAGGTTTCCTCACGATTTTTTCCTTCACCGACGAGCACGTGATATATTAGCACTTAAAATTGCGATTTCATTGGTGCCGGCAGGGATCGAACCCGGGTTACTCGCGTACTGTGAAATTTACAGCAAATGCTAACCATAACAGCTACCCCGGCTCTCAAAACAAAACATTTTGTCCGATATCAATAATAACAATAAAAAAGCAAGTTGTTAATAGACACGATTGAACAAAATTTATTATTACAAGAAAATTTAACTGGTAGAAGAACATAATAGCTGTACTTACTGCCTGGTGACGAGCAAGGCCTGCATGACGCTGTTCATGTAGCAAGTGTTGCCGAGGTTCAAAAGGCCAACCTTGCGCATCGGGACGTTGGAGTTCACAGAGGTAAGTGTGACATTGCGGGCCCGCCAAGGTGGCAGTTGTAGGAAACGGGAACCGTCTGTAGCCATATGCCTCTCCAAGCATGCCATCTATGGAAATGAAAATTACTACACCCAACCGCTTCCGGCGAAGGTAAAATACGTAATGACGCTCAAAAATAAATTCTCCTGCACATTTTCTGCAAGTGGGATGGGGTAATATTGACTAGAGTTCGGAGCGTCAAAGTGTGCGACATTAATTATTCACTACTATGATATCCGTTTAAAGCGTAATATTTTTCTTAATTGTAAATAAATATTATGTATAAAGCCAAATGCATTATAACTTCTTCTATATTATTATAGCAAGCATGGACCGGTTCAAAGAGCTAAAATCAAACAAGTCGTTTTACTTTTTAATTAATACATATTATATATTATATGTTAAGTATGTATTTAATAATGTAAACAAACTATTACTAAAATGATCGTATTTAATTTTTGCATCAAAATTAGTGCTTCTTTATAGGCTTGGTACGATATATCGAAAAACGATAATATCGACCCCACATTATCGATATTAAAACATTGAAAAACGCCATTGACCAACATTGACTAAACATAGAACATTTTTTTATTTATATAAATTATTATCTATTAATAATAATAAAATTCTCGTCTGTTTGGGATATCATCAACGTCATGATAATCACAGCCTATCAAAAGTCCATTGCTGAACATAGGCATCCCTCTTTTATTGCCTCATTATCATTTATCATAGCATCCACGGATTGTAGCAAGTTTTTTTTTATTATTCTTTTGAGTTGTTATCTGGTAGATGATGGTGTCCATCTCCTGTTTCATGTCTGTGTATCACCTCTTACTCCATCCACGGTATGATAAGGGATAGTGGTCAGGGAGACTTCTCACACTGCTACTACACGGTTAAGATATGCGTAAATATAATAAATAATATGAAATAAAATATGCGTCGAATAGAATACTGAGTACATAAAATAAAGTGAAATATATAAATAGATAAAGCCCCAACCAGACGAACGCCCTCTGAGGTGAAACCAACCGATCGAGGATTAAGGATTATCAAGGAGCACCGCTCGCTACGTTTGAACCCGTAGCGGTCCAGTCCGTATAACTGGTCTTTGTTAAAAATAAATATTATTTTCGTTATTTTATTTCTGATGCATTCGTACTTAAATGTGACCACGGAATATACAGTAAAGACTGCGCTTTACTATTATTGACATGCGAACACGAATTTATTGGAATATGAATTTCGATGTCAAAGGGGTTTAATTGATTTATGAATATATGAGTTGTATGAAGCGAACAAGGATGAAATTATAGGAGTATTTATGTAATAATGTGCCGTTTGACAAATTACAGCGATATATTTCAGAAATTATTGAAAAGCATCACGAATTAAAGCGCGTTATAGAAAAGAATTGTATATTTGTGTATTCACAAAATACCAGGTACATATTTTATTATTGCGTTTTCAAAGTATTCTTATAATGAACTCAAAGTTTAATTTATTATTTACATTGTTAAAATATAGTATAAAATTAAGACTAACTGAAAGGTTACACACCATATAAAAAAACTATGATAAAGAAAAACTAAAACAAAAATATTTTATTATCATAAAGTCAGACACGAAGTTTATTATATACAATATTACAAACTATAATAATAAAAAAAAACTGAAACTAGAAACTTAAATTATTTTATTATTAAATTATCATATAGTCCTACTCCCCGTGGTATCGTGCCAAAACGCTGGCTGCATTTCCTCGCTGAATGACTATACTTAGCCTTTGCGCGAGAAAAGAACCAGCCCTCTTATCACCAGCAACGACGACCAGTCGCGGGTACAGTTCCTTTAGGAACTTCATCGCACGTGGACCCCACGGACCGATAGTCTTTACAGCAAATGGCACAAATATGTAATCATCTCTCAAAGACCCATATTTGCGGCTTTTACTTAATTTAGCTGCCTCTGACGCAATCCCGGCTTTAAACGAGGTACGCTTGAGATGACAGGTTGTTAAAGTGTATACGCCAGTAGCATCCAACACTATGGCTTTACCTCACTCCCGAGGGATCAGTCATTTTTAGAAACATCTATCGTAATAAAATTATTAATAAAGGTACAAAATTAAATTAAAACAAATTATTTAGTTATAACTAAGTAAAACATTGCGATCTTATTTTCATTCAGTGCGAACAAAGATGTTCAACAACTGTTACCTTCGTCTGTGATGTGATAACTTACCACATAATCATATTTTTCCTTGAACATGTCAAGGGCCGCTCCCTTAAGGGGCTCCTTTATATGATCAACCATGGCTGTGGTTATATCCACAGCGTTCTGCAAAAGTTGTCGGCTCCATTGTCCGCTGTCGGTGGCCAAAACCACCAGCACTTTACCCACGTGAGGAGCGATCTAAAAATAATTATATATGGAACAGACCCGTGCTGCAGATTAATTAGTAAAAAAGTATTTTATTTAAAATTTTTTCAGCTATATATTTAAAACGTATTTTATGTAAATATTCTTATTGATTTGAAATAATAAAACACATGCGTGTGTGTCGTGGAACACTCGGTTGGAACGTAGTTCCTTTCGTAGTATACTATTATTGACAAACGTATTATATTACTGATTAACAAATATAAATAAATAAATTACTAGCGTCTATTAAAATGAAGCGTCATTTAAAATAAAATAATATTTCCTTCATGGCAAGATAAGAAAAAGTGCGAAGGAGATAGATAGAAGATATTATTCCATCACGCTTCCTTATAGCCGCCAATGCCGTCTACACTACGTCAGACGGAGTCGGTCGGGACGGAAAAATATTACACTTTTTGTTTTGTCTGATAAGGAACTTCGTTCCAATAATGATGTTCACCCATCCCGATTTTAAGTCACGGCGGCCAGCCTCTACGGAGACTAGCCACCTACGCAGGAGAGGATTATAGTGCCCGAGTGGGGATTCTCTATTCCCTCACTCTCATAGTCTGATGGGACGGCGAGTCGACACGACCGGGGAGGTCAGGCGTCAAACACCACAAACACGGGTGTAAAACACTGCCAACTTTCTAATCCCAGCTACTACTAATAATTGACAGAAAAATCCAACACTTAACTGAGACCACACGATCAGCAGTACATGAGCAGCAGCTTACGATTATAGACCAACGATGCCGTCAATTCAAAAATGTTTATGAAATAGTAACCTTGTATGCAATAGCTCTAAACAACAGACATTTTTGTAATTTTTTTTAATATATTATTACTTATTCTATTTGAAATTATTAAAAGTAATTTCAATACTCACTTTATCAAGAGCCTCGACGGATTCACGCAATGAAGAGAGCACGTGAAAGATGACATCTGCTACTGGTTGCCTTAGCGCCATCGGATCATTCATCGCTAAGAACAAATTACCTAAATTGTCCGTGCTCACTTCGATCAATATGTCATAACGTTCATTTTCCTGCAAGCGTTTCCAATACAATTTATAAATGTGTAACAATCATTAATAAATATTTGAAAATACATACTAATACTGTACTCAAATTATGTTAAAGCTTTTTTTATATAGAAAATGCGAAGGCGGGTTTAAATGTCGACAGCGCCCTAGGATAGCACCATGTCGAGGCCCTGGTGGCTATATATTATAAATTATAACTACGTATTTCGCAAATAAACTATGTTATAATATAGTTAAGTAGCCAGTTACACCCCCCACCCCCCAAAATATAAAAGCTGTGTTAAATAAAAATCTACCCCAGCATCGATAATCCTGGGCAATCCCTCACTGGGCACGTTTCTGTTCTTGACGTCACGGTCGTCTTGAAGACAGGGACCTGTCCATCCTATGGCTACGCATAGACTGCGGCAACCACCACCACCGCGTCTACGGGCGCTTTAATAGGCCCCACAGCGGTAAGGCCAAGACATACCTACTTATCGACCACGTCCAAATGTCTACAGATTCCGTGCTAGAACAGATCCTATCCGCAGAGATCGTATTCCTAGGCAATGTCAACGTTCACCACACCGACTGGCGCGATTTTCGTACTACCGATAATTCGAGGAGATCTGTTTACGACTTTGCCTTGGCATATGGTCTGACACAACTGGTCACTTCACCTACGCGAAGCCCACCTTCCCTGATGGACGTTCTGCTGACCTCTCATCCGAACGGGTATCAGGTCTCCTACGATGCCCCTGTTGGCTCTTCGGATCACTACCTGAAGCGGGGTACGGTGCCCATCACATGCTCATTGCAGGAACGGTGTCGGCTGTCGCCATGTGTGGCTCTGGCTCTATAGGTCAGAGGACAGATATGGGATGCGGGTTTTTTTGGATCCTACCCATGGGGGCGGATTTCCTTCTCGCTGGTTGATCTCAACGTCGTTGCTGAGTCTGTCGTTGATGTGGTGCTTTCATCTGAAGTTTTCATCCCGCCATCTGTAGTGCCTATCGGCAGCAGATTTCAGCCTTGGTTTTGTCGCTCCTGCAAAATTGCAGCTCGACAAAAACAAGAGTGTTACAAGGCCAGGACCGACGCATTGGCAACGCGGGATGCAAACACAGCCCCTTTGTCGTATCTTCTCTATTTCAGGGCACTCCCTTCGTTGCCTCAGCCAGCATCGGCCAGCACCCTCATCATCTCGATGGCTAGCAGTTCACTACTTTGCGATTTACACGGAATTTTCTGCCTAGCACGACTATACATTGGAATTTACTGTCGCCAGCGGTTTTTCCGGACTGATGACTTAGGGACCTTCAAGAAAAGAGCTTTCCTAAAAGACCGGCAGCTCACCTGCAATTCCCCTGTTATGTTCGAATGTTCATAGGCGACGGTGATAACTTCCCCACGCGCCCCTTCGTAACCTTGCGCCACTAGGCACGTGCCTAGTTTGCTTTAGAGGTAATCCGCCACTGAGATTATGGGTGACAAACGAGCACACAGTCCACCTGATGGTAAGTGTATACTGCGGCACATAAACATCTATATTTATCCTCGTTTAAGAATCAAAATGCAGATGCGTCGTCACCCGTGAGGACTAAGAAATGCCTCTTTTCCAGCAAAATGGATCTCCGGTTCTCTACACTCACCATACGAAACACAGCAGTGTTAAGCTGCTATTTTACGCTGGTATTCTGTGAGAGCAGTATCAAAGAAATGGAAAGGATAAATCAGGCTGTGATTTTTTTAATTTAATTTTTTTTATTTTGTACTTTCACGAAGATGAAAACATTTTTTTAACTTTTTTTTAACAGTGATCTGAACTGAAGTATACGAGTCGTTATAAAAATTATAATAAACCTTATAAGTACATAAAATTGCGTAAATAATTAATATAATATTAAAAAGGAGAAAGGAATCATCACCCCTGAGGTTTAAGATGGAATGCCTGGCTTCCAGTGAATAGGATATCCGGTTCTCTACATTCCCCATACGAAACATCATAGCCTTAAGCTGCTATTTTACGCTGGTATTCTGTGAGTCATTCGTGCTACAACTAATATAGCTGCAGCTGAAGCTTTGTTAAACTAATTGCGTATAAATAAAAATAAAAGTGATCACTAATATTCACGACTTTATGATAACAATAAAATTGGCCACATTATCTTGCTAAACATAAAGTGCATGCGTTGTCACTTCATTGGTGCGTATCATGTGGGTGCGAGGATGGGACTGGACTCGACAAATTTTAACGCAATGAGCTTTTCAACTTATTAGTAATTTTACGGATTTTATCGCGCCGTAATGAAATCTTATGTAAGAGCGGGAGCGATCATTGACTTGTTACCACCGACTTGTTAAATTAGAAATCCATACAAACGAACACCGATTCCTACCTAGGATGATTGATTCGTCAGACTTTTAAATTAGAAATGATTACTTTGACTAGCTTAAAGATACTGTGCGCTCTTTCTACTTAGATTGAACACGAATAATTAAATTCTGATGTTAATCCGGGTCAACCGCAACGTCGTGAACAAACACGACGCTAATGCATAGCACTTGATATTCAGGAATTAAAAATGAAGAAATTCCAAAGAAGAGAATCCATTGCCTTGTTTAGTTTTTTGGATGTCATAAGAAGTGACCACGGGAAAAGCCAGAACGTACTTATGGCCTCTGATACGAGGGTGACACTGAGTTCTTAGAAAATCAAAAACTGAACAACCTAGCAAGTTATTAGTTTTATTATATCTTTTCAAAATAGTGTCCATTTCTTGTACATTAATACTTCGCTGCATCCGATGTAACCACTGTGAAGAGCACTTAGGGGTCTCTTCGACGGCATTTTGAATTTTCGGAAATAAATGAAAATCGCAAGGTGCGAGGTCGAGTCAATAGGGCGGGTGACCCAGTAATTCCACGTCTGACGTCGCCAAGTAGTCGATTGCTTGCTTGGCGGTGTGCGACGAGGCGTAGTCGTGGTGAAGGAGGATCCTACTGCGAAGTCGTTTCTCCCGAACTGTTTCTTACAAGACAAGTGGCAAACAATTGTTAGAGTACCACTCTGCAGTAACTGTTTTTCGATCCTCTACAACAATTGTTGCGTAATGACCTGTTCTTCCGAAGAACAAGGCCACCATCTTTTCTTCCACGCTTCGACCTCTCTTCACTTTAGTTGGCAACTCCTCGGAAGGAAACACCCAGACAGCAGACTGTCTCTTAGTTTCAGGATCATAACAATAAATCCAGCTTTCGTCACCCGTAAGTATGTCGAAGACAGCATTTGAGTCACCTCCGTTAAATTTTTGAACCATTTCACGACACTAATCACGAAGGAGTTTTTGGGCCTCTGTCAAATTATGTGGTACCCACCGGGCACAAAGCTTCCTGACCGCTAAATGTTCATGGAGGATTTTGGACACTTGACTCATACCGATGCCTAAGCTTGTCCGAATCTGCTAATAAGTCACTCTTTTGTCAGTCTCTATCATACGCCACATAACACTGATATTATCTTGAGTCGTCGCCGTAGAAGAGCGTCCCTCACGCAGATCATCGGTGAGATTAGTGCGACCACGTTTAAACTCATTAAAGAAGTTGTAAATAGTAGCACGAAATGGGGCTTCATCTTGAAAGGCCAATCGAAGTCTATCATAACTTTCTTATTGACTTAAATGACATCAAAAGTCATAAAAAATTATTGTACGAAAATTTTCTCGCGTTAAATACATGCTGACGTGCCACCACAGTCTATAAATCCATACAGTCGTCCGACGAAGACGTCTAGACAGATCCCTCGTGCTCTCTGTAACAAAGATTTGCCCACGGTAGCTAACTGTGAAGGGTGGTGGTGGGATCCACCGTTTAAATATCGGTTTGTATGGGTCTTTTTTCTATACACAGTGTGACCTATGGTATTATCAGGATTTCTAATGACTAACACATCTAGGAAAGCTAAAGAATTATTTGCCTCTAACTCCATAGTAAATTGAATTTTACAGTTTATGGAATTATTTTTTAGAACATCTTAAGTTAGTCAGAGGTGTCACAGACAAGATTAGCTACATCTTGAAGCGAGCTTCTATTAGAACATTCTTCAAGCCACCGAAGAAGATTAGTCAGTTCTTACCATCCGTCAAGTGCAATATTCCTCTACAAGATGCAGGAGTGTACAGTCTTGATTGTGAGTGTGGTCTCTCATATATAGGGCAAACAAAACGATCTATAAAAACTCGCGTAAAAGAACACATAGCTGACGTGAAGCACCAACGTTCCGGGAAGTCTGCAGTTTGTGATCATATCCTAGACGACCCCCGCCATTACATTAGATTTGATAAACCACAAATTCTCGCGAAAGAACATCGATTCCTGCCAAGGATGATACGTGAGGCTATTGAAATTAAAAAACAGAGATTTCAATAGAGAGGGAGGCTGGGTACTACCACCTGCTTGGGATCCTGTAATTCATAAAATTAAAACTAAACCCAAGCATACCACTGCAAGACTTCAAGACACAGTTAGTTCATTCTGCGTAGGTCGGACCAAAATTATTAATTAAAAAAGCTGAAGGTACTCCGGTTTAACACTGACATCGGGACGTCAATTACCTCAGTCCCCCGTGACCACGGTTGCTGGAAAGCAACCGAAACGTCGGGAATATAAAATAAGTTAATTAAACGCGATAAAATCCGTAAAAATAGTTTTATTCAAAATACATACACAATAATATTGGCAGAGTTCCATTTTCAAATTTTGAACTTATTTTTTTATTATACTTATGATTTACAAGTGGCCAGTTCTAAAAACTTTCAGTGTCGCCCTCGTAGCAGCACAGAGTAAAGAGGACCAGAGGGGAAGCTTTCTAACAACGTCGAAAATCTATACCTATTCTGATAGGGTTGTCACCTAATGCATGTGAAAATTTTAAGGAAAAAATAAAAATATTGTATAGCATAAGACATCATGTGTATTAATTATAACTTATATTAATGTAACAACATATTTATTAATTGTTCGAAATCAAGAGTTTTGGTGTAAGTGGTGGTGGTGGTGGTGGTAGTTGTGGCTGTGATGGTGGTCGTGGGCAGTGGCGGTGGTGGTGATAGTAATGGTGGTGATGGTGGTGGTGTTGATGAAGTCACTGTTGGTCCACTGCCTACTACCATTACCTACGATACTACCACCTCCACCACCACTGACACCATCAGCAACACTATCCACCAACACCAACACCAGCACCACTACCACCAACACCAATCCCTGGCGATTGTATTCCAACCATAATGCAGTGGTATTTACCCCTGCGGTCGCGACTCGCAAAAAGTTACTTATATCCTACCCCAGGAAGCAACCTACCTCTATACTAATGTGGGTGGATAAAGTCACACATTTAGCCTTATTCCGTAGGATATTCTGCCATCTACGGCACTGTCAAAGTTAGACTGACTAACGTTTCAAGTAGGTGAGACCGACATCATCACTCGGCGACGCACCTTTCTAACACATTCTCACTACCTATCAATGTTATTAGCTAGTATTATTGTATACGTAAAAAGGTACTTACTTCACTTGATCTCTCGGGTACAAAGAAAAGGAAATATCCTTATTTTCTCTAGAATTATTCATGCATACTGTACACCTATTAGGCATTTTTGCTTATACAGAAAACTTATTATTTACCTATATAAATTTATAATAACCTAATTCTTAATTATTCTTATTAAAAAACTTTTATCTAATTATTTAATAATTGCAAAAATACTTAATAAATTAATTGATGTATAAAATATCGAAATATTTTTGGTCTATTTATTTAAATGCGCACGACTAACAGCCCTTTCATGGACACTCTGACTGAGCCGGCGCAAACCGGTTTGTACCCCGACGGAGCGTCGGTGAACCTGTCGGTGAGAGCTCACGCACACATCGCTGCGCTATGTTGGGTGTACTCGCAGCGAGCCGTCTGTATTTAGCTTACCCTCTGGTCGGTTTCTTTACTCGTGCCGAAGCGTCGTTTTGGCAAATACTCAACGGAGTATTTGTTATAACGATAAGAGAAACTGTGTTATGGGTTCAGAACTGTACTGTTATGAACTGCGTAGAAGAAGAAAAAATAAAAGCGATACAATTGTGAAGCATTAGCATTAATATAAGAAATCGTCTCATTCAATAAAATAGCTTCAATAATAACCGCAAATAGAGTCCGTCAACAGTTGAATAAAATATTGTAAGTAAGCCTTGTGGCATATTGGCATGAATGCCCTGTACTAATAGGTATTCTGTGGCTGAGCTAAGTTTGTTTTCAATCGATGCCTGTGTCGTCGATTGGATGCCATGCCGATTTCGTGTGAAAAATAAATAACGGAAGAGAAAATAGATTTTACATTATAACATCGGTCTGATTTTACATCGGTTGTATTTTGTCAAAGCTAAAAAAGTCATACTTTAGTATAAAATTAACAAAAAAATATCAATACTAATAGCATTATTCAATCTCATCATTAAAATATCAGACTACAATAGTATCTAAATATTTTGATAAAATCTTAATATCAGCGTAAATTAGCACCTCCATGCTGCTCTGTTTCGTATGGTGACTGTAGAGAACCGGAGTACCTTTTTTGGCGAGGTCTTAATCAAAATCGTTCTTATGGGTTATACGAGTACACTATAGAAAGAAACTATGTTTAAAGTACTTACCTCCAAAGCCTTGATATAGGCAATAAGCCAATCACCTAAGGCGGGAGTGCCATGCCACTCGTAAATCCAACGGTAAAGGCAAGAGAGGGAGGCACGGAGTCCGGCTCCTCCCGGTCCATTTTCGCCCTGCTGTACCAACCAGCGGGCAGCCGATAGGGTTGCTTCAGATTCAGACCCATCCAATACGATGAGCACAACTGATGTGGCCGGGCATGCATTAGATTCTGTACCCATGCAAAAGTCCGTAAGTATCGTAAAACTATAATCTATTAAATATGTACGATACACGTTTAAAATTTTGTTTAAAAATAATGATAGTTTAAGAAAACTTAAACAATCAAGTCAATCGGCCGTCTACAAGTTGGTGTCTATTACATTTAAAAGATTCTGTTACATAAATAGATACTCGCAGATACGCGAAGTTAATAAAAGAGTATTAAGTAATGAGTTTAATTTGACAATATGCTAGTAAACTTATAATTATGAATAAATATATAACATTTGAATTTACCACTATTGAGATATCCCGGATTTTGATGTTTACCTCTAGCAACTACAAACATAACTTAAATTTAAAATTTAAAATACCCCCGATCTGATGATCTTCAAACGGCTGAAAAGATTTTTTTGGATCATAGCTAAGAGCACACGCGATAAAGTCACCTTTCAAACGAAAAAAACTAAATTTAAATCGGTTCATCCGTTTGGGAGCTACGATGCCACGACGGACACAGATACACACGGTAAACATATAACACCCTTATTTTTCGTCGGGGTTTAATAAATAACTGCTAACTGCACTACCACAAATCTTTGAAGCCTCATACAAAAGCACGGTCGCTGGGTGCCGTACTACAGTCTCAGTGATATTCAAAGTTCTGCGCGAATTAAATGTTTTGGCATCGCAATCGCGTTAAATTCTCGGAAATTTTGAATGGTAAGTAAAACTTCAGCAAGAATTCCAGACGGCAAACGACAAAATGGAAACTTAGCAGAACTAAATAATGCCGTCTCTTCCTTTGTAAACGTTCATAGTGTGCGCAAAATTACGAGTGCATTATTAATATCACAAACGAAACGTACGAGGGCTGCACTAAAAGTATCGGGAATAGAATATTTCCTCTGTTCCTGTCATATTAAAATCTTTTAAATTGAAAACTCCTTGGTTTTAAAAATCGAATACCATTTATTTATTTAAAAAAAGATTCTCGGTCTTGCCACAATGTTTTATAAAACTTGTTTAGTCGTTGACAAAATGGAATTGACTCGAGAAAATTCAAGAGCAATGATTTATTATGACTTTCGAAGTGGTTTAACACAAAAACAGTGTGTTGACCGGATGATTTCTGCATTTGGTGATGAAGCCCCATCCAAAACCACAATTTATCGCTGGTTTGCTGAATTTCAACGTGGACGTGTCAAGCTCAGTGATGATCCCCGTCAAGGTCGTCCAAAAACTGCAGTCACCCAAGAAAACTTTGATGCTGTGCGTAAGCTGATTGAGGAAGATCGACATGTGACATACCGCGAAATTCAGGCAACTTTAGAAATTGGCATGAGTCAAATACAAATAATCTTGCATGAATAATTAGGTGTAAAAAAGTTGTTTTCCCGATGGATACCGCATTCGCTCTGTGAAGAGCAAAAAGCGGCTCGTGTTACTTGGTGCGTCAGAACTCTCGAAAGATTCCACGCAGGATCCTCAAATGCTGTATACAACATCGTATCAGGTGACGAATCCTGGATATACGCGTATGAACCCGAAACAAAATACCAGTCACGAGTTTGGGTGTTCGAAAATGAGTTAAAGCCAACAAAAATTGTTCGTTCACGGAGTGTTGCCAAAAAAAATAGTGGCCACGTTTGTCTCCAAAACCGGCCATGTTACGACTATTCCTCTTGTGAGACAAAGAACGGTTAATGCAGTATGGTATGCTAGCATTTGTTTGCCACAGGTCGTTTCTGAACTCCGTAAAGAGAACTGCAACCGCCGCATCATCCTCCATCACGACAATGCGAGTTCTCACACCGCACACAGAACAAAAGAGTTTTAAGAGCAAGAAAACATAGAATTATTAGACTATCCGCCGTACAGTTCCGACCTAAGCCCTAATGATTTCTATACTTTCCCTAAAATAAAGAATACATTGCGTGGACAGAGATTTTCATCACCTGAAGAAGCTGTGGACGCCTACAAAACGGCCATTTTGGAGACCCCAACTTCCGAATGAATGGTTGCTTCAATGATTGGTTCCATCGTATGGAAAAATGTGTCAAATTTCGCGGAGAATACTTCGAAAAGCAATAAATACATTTTTAAATAGTAATGTTGTGTCACTTCCTTGATTCCCGAAATTTTCAGTGCCGCCCTCGTATTACGTTCGCTTTTAGGAATAAGTCTTTATAAAACAAAAGCACGTTCTCCAAGAATTTCCAAATTATATACTTACCCGGGTCTGAGATCAAAGAATAGAATTTATCCAAAATAGCAGTTATAATCTCGTGGCGAAGACTACGGTTAACGGAAGTAACAATCCGCACCAAAAACTCTTCTACAGCCGTCAACAACTCCCAAAGCTGGTCTTCGTCACCAGAAGTGCGAGCTATGATACAAATATTTAAGTATAAGGTATATAATAATATAGGTAGGTGATGTAAAAGTCTATATTACATTTATAGAATATATGGTCCATCAGAGGTTATATTAAGTTTATCACAATGTAATATCTGAAGATCAAAAATAGCTTACTATATTCTTAGTTCGTTCAAGTATAAGGCCGCGTTCCGACGACACGCACCCGTTAAGCGCACGCCACACGCGTCAGCACCCGCGTCTAACTCGCTTTGAAAATTGTTGCATATAATTTGAGTCTTATGGCAAATCAATAAATCGAGGAGAATGGGCGCAATAGACACATAAGATAATCAATCACCCTATCACCCATAGCTGCTCTAATAGTTAATCATGGAGTCTTGCAAATTCCTAGACCGGTGCAGAGGACAAGCGTCATAGGTGCGAAAGGTACGATACTGTGATCTGTGGTTATAAAGGCAAGTAACTCAAAATATGTAAGTAACCCATGGACCATGGACTGATATGGTAGATTAAGCCCACCAACAGAGTAGGTACTTACCTAAACACTTTACTATATCTTGACAGTTTTTAATTATCTCCTGTGCTGGTGGCAAATAGTTTGGTTGCTCATTCATGACCTCGATGTACTGCGCCAGCGCCTTTAAATCCAACTGATTATGGTTGTCGTGTACTAGTGCGTGTTTTTTAACCGCCATTTCTAAATCTGGGAAAACATGCGCAGCGTTAATGTAAAATAATAAAAACAACGACGAGACATGGGCCATAATAAAAATTACAAATTTTTAAATAAAATATAAAAACCGACGTCCAAAACCTAAAAAAATAAAATCGGGGCTTTAATGCTTCGATACAATATAATGACTTAGCATCGTCTTTAGACGCTTTTTACTTTTTAATATAAGTTTAATTTTCTTGATTCTGTTCAGTAGACTAAGATCAAGGTTAAATATAGAATGTCATCAAAACAGTTACACTAAAAACTTAAAAAAAAAACTTTTTGTTCAAATTTAAATGGTACCACACATTACGACGTATTACGGTTTTATTTAATATAAATCATCATTAAAATCGGTAAACGATTGGCGGAGTAACTAAGAACAATTTGTACGTGGTAGAGTCACGCTGCAGCTGTATTATGGTTGTAGCATGAATGGATCGGCGCGACCGAGTTAGGAGCACTTTCCCACAGAATACCAGCGTAACATAAAAGCTTAATGCTGCTGTGCAAAACACTGGTGAGTGTAGAGAACCGGAGACCCCTTTGCTGGAAACCAGGCATTCCATCTTAGTCCTTAGAGGTTACAACGCATCTGCATTTTGATTCTTAATTGAGCATAAATGTGGATATATATGGGCCGCAGTGTCCATTTACATCAGGTGGTCTCAGGGCTCGTTTGTCACCCTTATTTTATAAAAAAAGTTAACATACAAAAAACGAACCTACAGTCGAATTGTCAACCTCCTTTTTTTGAGGTCGGCTAGAAATAAAATGATAAACTAAGAGATAAAATAAGCAATAAGAATGACCGCATTTATAATACACAAAATCACTATTAATAAAACATTAATGTTATTAATACATATTAATAATTAAACATAATACACAAACTATTATTTACATCATAGTTCAATTATTGTACGATTTTATAATTAGTTTAACAAGCGAGCATAAATAAAATGTTGGCACAATAACATACCCATTTGAAATATTATGAAATGAATTCCATCGTAAAAACAGCATCTAGCATACTGATGCGCGATTGTCTACCACACAGTTGATATTTACCCTCATTTAATATGATAAAATATTGTTAGTCTTTGTAAAGTTTCTTGCTTTATAAATCAAGACAAGATTTTTAAAAAAATGCGTGAGTGTCGTGGAACACTCGGTTGGAACGAAGTTCCTTCCGTAGTATATTATTATTGATAAACGTATTAAACAGAAACAGTTACTACTTTTTTATTTACTTTGTTTTCCTTCACAGTATTTACTTAAATTATACATCAGATTGAGAACTTTTTCTACTCACACACAGTTATTTTAGAGACGTTAAAAAATATAAGACAAGTTAAAGTAAAATACAAATACAATTTAAAGTAAAATAGTTATACATTAAATAAATAATCAAAAGATACGTACTGTATTTATTACTATTTTTTGAAAGCACTGGGTAACCACTAACCACAAAATATCGTCTGTGACGTAGGATCATAGTGCCCAAAGAAGAAGAAATTTTCGCGGCGACGTTGATTAGTGAAATTGAAAAATGCATTTTATATAATTTAGATGTGGAACGACGAACATGCTCTCGTTACTTAGATTTCGATAGTTTGTAATACCTATGTAATGTTATTGTTGCATATTTTTATTAATTAGTTGATACTGAATTTTATAATTATGTATTACAATAAAACGCTGTTTTTATGAGTATGGCTTTATAAAATATTATTGGGGAGGGAAATAAAGATACAGATAATTAAGTGTACCTAAATGTAAGTACATTTAGGTACACTGTTATCAAATTAAATCAAACAATTTAAATAAATAAAAGAATGGTGCTTACCTAAGTATAAATAACTATATAAAGACATTATTGGGTTTATGGTTTATTTTATGTTAGACAAACTATCATCTAAAAAATGTAAAAATTTTAAATTGGAGAGGGGTTTCTCTACGTGATAAAGTTAGAAATGAAGATATTTGCATTAAAACCAGAGTAACTGACATAGCCCAACGGAATATTACAGTGAAATGGCAATGGGCTAGCTATATAACTTGGATAAAAAATAAGAAGAAAGGTCCTCGAGTGGCAACCTCGTACAGGTAAGCGAATTAGTACTCAACTTTTATTCCTCTTCACGTATTCTCATACGCTTTTCTTCACACACACACACACACACACACGCACACGCACACGCACCCGCACCCGCGCACGCGCACGCACGCACGCACGCACGCACGCACGCACGCACGCACGCACGCACGCACGCACGCACGCACGCACGCACGCACGCACGCACGCACGCACACACACACACACACACACACACACACACACACACACACACACACACACAAACACACACACACAAATAGGTCGCAAATAATACTTACCTAGTACTATTAGGCAAGAGTGAAAAGGTTTTTGTTAAGTCAGTGCAATTCACCATCTTAGACTACATAACCACTTACCGATGGGATTGTAGTTGCTTTACTACTTGCTGGGTAAAAATAGTAAAAAAAAAATTTACCCTGTGAAAGGTTGCATTTAGATATAATTTTTCTAACCAACTATAAAAATATGATGAGAATATGTATATAAGTATAAAGGTTGCCTCACACGGGACAGTAATAATATAATATTATATCTTCCATTATCTACGCATGAAAACTTTTAAAATCTCTGAATCCCGAGGTATGTTCATATTAAGAGGCTGAATAGAGCCACATTGAAATGCATGGGGATCGTTTTGTAATTTCACGTCATTATCGAAAAATATTGTACGTATTTCAGGTGGCGGTTTGCAAAACACGATTCCACAAAAACTAACTCAATAGAAAAGAATTGCAAAGTTGCTTCTAAAAATACTTAAATTTTCAACGTCAATTTTTTCTTACGTGGTAGAGCCATGCTGCAGCTATATTAGTAGTAGGTATAGTTGTAGCACGAATGGGTCGGCTCGACCGGGGAAGGGCCACGGTCTCACAGAATACCATGTAAAATAGCAGTTTAACCCTGCTGTGTTTCGTATGGTGAGTGTAGAGAACCGGAAAACCTTTTTATTGGAAACGAGGTACAGGGTGGGCCAGAAAGAATTGCGAATTTGAAAAATCATTAAAAAAACTAAGTACAATTCACATACAAATTTTTATTTCTACAAAAATTTACATCTGGGAAATTCATTTTTTAAAAATAACATCATCCAGATGTGCACCATCGCGCTGCAAACATTCTTCGAATCTGAACCTCAAATTGGTAAAAACTCGCTGGCACATTGCACGGGGAATATCTGCCATTTCTTTCCGGATATTGGTCTTCAACTGGTCAATTGTGGCTGGGTTATTCGAGTAGACTCTACTTTTTAGGTATCCTCACAAAAAAAAGTCCAGTGGTGTAAGAACCGGACTTCTAGGAGGCCATTCAATGTCACCTCAGCGCGATATCAGTTTCTCACCAAACATCTCGTTTACGACCGCCAAAGAGGCATTAGCTGTGTGGCATGTCGCGCCATCTTGTTGAAACCATGTCGCACGATTATAGGCTTCAAATTGTAGCAGTTGTGGAAAGATAAAATCCCTTAACATGGCTATGTATCGGTCAGAATTTACAGTGACAGATTGGCCTTGTCGATTTTCGAAGAAGTGGGGTCCGATAATTCCGTGCGCTGACATGGTCGCCCAAACGGTTACTTTCGGCGAATGTAGAGGCTTTTGATGTTTTGCACGTGGGTTCTCTGCAGCCCAGTAACGGCAATTCTGTTTATTCACCTGCCCATTTATGTGAAAATGGGCTTCGTCTGAGAACAGAATATTGTTGAAACTCCGAAAGCGTTCCAGCATCGTTTCAACAAAAGCTCTCCTTAAAATTGGATCATTTGACTGTAATTCCTGCACAAGTTGAATTACGGATGCAATTTCAGATCTTTCAACAAAATGCGACGCAAAGATGTTCTGGACACCACAAGTTCGGCTGAACGCTTTCGAGTCGATAGAGCAGGATTACGTTGAACTGAAGCTCCAACTTGTTCAATTGTGTCTTCTGTTCTTGTTGACCTTGGGCGTCCCGCAGGCTTCTGTTTGAGAGTCGAACCAGTAGCTTCGAACTTTCTGACCCACGATCGAATCACGCTTTCCTTCGGACACTGATTTAGGTCATGTAATCCAAACTCATGTCGAAATAAACGCCGAACAATAGCGCACGAATCGTGATTTTTATAATAATGTTTAACGCAGAATGCACGTTGCACTCCCGTGAAGTGATCCATCGCGACTAAATTTCCGAGAACCGACCTACTTAACCCCACCACCCGCGCAGTCCCCTCTCTAAAGCTTCAAACGCAAGAGTGTTTTTAAAATCGTACTCCTTTCTGGCCCACGCGTTATTACATCTTAGCCCTCACGGGTGACAACGCATCTACATTTTGATACGTAATCGAGAATAGATGTAGATGTGTATGGGCCGTAGCAACCACTTACCATCAGGTGGACTGTGTGCTCATTTGTCACCCTTATTCTATTAAAAAAAAACTTTCTGAGATTTCAGTAAAATAATGTTAAGGGGCTACTCCATGCGAACGACCTTGAGCATTTGCCGGCGGCGTGCCGCTCGCTTCAATATATTGCTTAATATGAAATATGTAAGACGCCACCTATTGTAGGTAAAAGAACGTAGTATTATTTTTTCAACATCAATAAACTAATTGATGGAAATACACACAGCGTACAACGATAAATGTATTTTAATTTTTTTATTCGGTATATTAGTTGCATTATATTAGAATTATGTATTTTCATATATTATCTAATTATGAAATTTTATAATTAATTATATATTAAAAATGAAGCATTGAAAATTGTGAGTTTAAAACATACCTATTCACTATAGGTAAATAAATAGATAGCTCGCCTTTTGTACTAATATTTGGTGCAATAAAGAATAAGTAAATAAATAGGATGTTTCGTAGATGTGTTTTT